GAGCGAGAGATCATATATCATTTACAAATGAAGGACAACTTCTGTCTGCCTTACATACACCCACATCATGAACAAAAAGACTCAATTAAAATCCCATTACTTAATTCTCGTAAACGAAGAAAAAGCATATGTAGGAGGAAAAAATAAGGAAATGATATTAAATAAATAGTCCGTGGCATAAATAACCCTAGCCTATTTGGACACACATTCTCCACCCACCCAACCAGCATAAATAAGCAGTCTAGACGTCATGTCCACAAATAAAACTCCGCATAAAACTCAGAACTAAGCACAACCAAAAGAAATTGAGATGTGTCGGTCCACTCTCTTACTCCCAGTTTTGTAAATCCCTGCCCACAAAACGAGTAAGGATAATAGCTGTTGAGATCGCACTGAAACATGAAGCCGATATATATCTACAAACACTCTATCGCACATGTTGAGCACTTTTACCCCATCAATTTATTAAGCTATATATATATATATATATATATATATAAAGATATATATATATATATATATATATATATATATATAAAGAGAGAGAGAGAGGTTTCATTGAAAGTGACACACATGTCACTGCGATTACTATGTTTGATATAGTTTTCTTGCATTTGGGCAAGCGATTTCTTTTTGGTTGGACATAGAGTGTGTATGAATTGTCTAAAATGATGACACAATCTATGCCCCCAACAGAAATCTCTTGTATGGATGCAAGAAAAATATATTTAAAAGCTTAAACGCAGAGCCTTGACAGTCGTCTTCAATGAAACCTTATAAAAGATAGATTACTGTCCGTATATATATATATATATATATATATATATATAGATAGATAGATAGATAGATAGATAGATAGATAGATAGATAGATATCATTAAGTGACAAACAATCAGTACAACTTACACAGTTTATAGGAAGAAAAAAAACGAGTAGAGCATAAAGAAAAGAATGAAGAAAAATTAAGGAAGAACGGACAGTAAGAAGGAAGGAAATGAGAAGAATAAAATTTTTATGGAAGCATGGAAGGAAATTAAAAAGAAAAAACTTTTTAATAAAAAGAAGGAAGGAAGAAATGAGATCGAAAAATAATAGGATGGCGTGGAGAATTATAGAAAGGCAATTCGAAGGAATGAAGGAACGAACGAACGAACGAACGAAGAAAGAAGAAAAAAGACAAGAAGGCATAGAGAATTATAGGAAGGAAGTTAGGAAGGAATGAAGTTAGGAATAAAGGAAGGAAGGAAGGAGGGAAAGAAACACAGGAAGGCTTGGAGATTCATAGGAAGGAAAGAAGGAAGGAAGGAAGGAGGGAAAGGAAGGAAGGAAGGAAATAAGGAAGGGACGAAGAGAGAAGAAACACAGGAAGGCTTGGAGATTTATAGGAAGGAAAGAAGAAAGGAAGGAAGGAAGGAAGGTAGGAAGGAAGGAAGGAGGGAAAGGAAGGAAGGAAGGAAATAAGGAAGGGACGAAGAGAGAAGAAACACAGGAAGGCTTGGAGATTTATAGGAAGGAAAGAAGGAAGGAGGGAAAGGAAGGAAGGAAGGAAATAAGGAAGGGACGAAGAGAGAAGAAACACAGGAAGGCTTGGAGATTTATAGGAAGGAAAGAAGGAAGGAAGGAAGGAGGAAAAGGAAGGAAATAAAAGGAAGGGACGAAGAGAGAGAAGAAACACAGGAAGGAAGGAGATTTATAGGAAGGAAAAGAAGGAAGGATGGAAAGGAAGGAAGGAAGGAAATAAGGAAGGGACGAAGAGAGAAGAAACACAGGAAGGCTTGGAGATTTATAGGAAGGAAAGAAGGAAGGAGGGAAAGGAAGGAAGGAAGGAAATAAGGAAGGGACGAAGAGAGAAGAAACACAGGAAGGCTTGGAGATTTATAGGAAGGAAAGAAGGAAGGAAGGAAGGAGGGAAAGGAAGGAAATAAGGAAGGGACGAAGAGAGAAGAAACACAGGAAGGCTTGGAGATTTATAGGAAGGAAAGAAGAAAGGAAGGAAGGAGGGAAAGGAAGGAAGGAAGGAAATAAGGAAGGAACGAAGAGAGAAGTAACACAGGAAGGCTTGGAGATTTATAGGAAGGAAAGAAGAAAGGAAGGAAGGAGGGAAAGGAAGGAAGGAAGGAAATAAGGAAGGAACGAAGAGAGAAGAAAAAGACAGGAAGGTATTGAGAATTATAGGAAGGAAAGAAGGAAGGAAGGAAGGAAAGGAAATAAGAAAGAAACGAAGAGAGAAGTAAAAAGACAGGAAGGCATGGAGAATTATAGGAAGAAAGAAAGAAAGAAAGAAAGAAAGAAAGAAAGAAAGAAAGAAAGAAAGAAAGAAAGAAAGAAAACAAGATAAATATAAAAGAGAAAAGGCAAAAGCAAGAAACCAAGAATTATAGAAAGGAAACAAAAGGACAGAAAGATGGACGGACGAAGGGAAGAAAAGAAAAAATAGATTAAATTTTAAAACTCTTCCAGTTCGAACTTTGACATAAAAAATAGAAAAAATAAAGAACAT